ATGCACCCCCTGGTGGATCAATGATCCATTGCAGCTGGCTTCATTATAATTACATTTATTTATCACGGGTGCGGTCTCTAGTCACGCAGGAGGTTTTCCTTTGAGCGAAGGCAGACCCCGTGCCGGCCACGACCCTCGCGTTTCAAACTGTCTGAAATGAGTTGCTAAATCTGTATACAACCCAATTTGTGTTCTTTGAAATTTAAAAGGATATTGCATTGTGTTTGTTACTTTCGTTGCAGTTGTATATTTCTCAAGTGTAATTTGGCTTGGCTTCCAATTTGTATGTACATGCTTTTATTTTGAAGGAGAGTTAGCGCTGTTGACAGGAAGTTGCTGTTGCTATGGAAACAACGTGAAAAGGAGCGGAGATTAACGGATAAAAGTCATATCTACATATAAAGACGGAGAAAGTAAACGATAACGGTTATGGTTAAGTGTTAGCACCCCCCGAAGAGGCACAAGCTCTTACGTTGATATTGGAGATTTCAATAAATTCAATTTGGCAGCCGCAGTGCCAAATTAAAAAACGAATATCCGAATAACGAAATTGAAAACCGAATAGTAGCCCAACAACCGAGTATTCGGGTACAGCCCTATCGCATTTACAACAACATGTTAAAACAGTAACTTTAACATTTATCTTATGATCTGTGTTTTTGATGGAATAAAGTATAGACATAATGAATAATAATCAAAAAATAAGTAAAAAATACAACCAAATCAGATCCGAATTCAAACATGGCAGAGACCCAGGCTGTAAAAAAACGAAACATTTCATAAAAAGGGAGAGCATCAGTGTGGCCCTCAGGCTCAGCGTGGTCACTCACATGCCACCTTGTCGCTGGGCACAAAACGGATCTCTGTGATCACTCCTTCTTCATCTTCATCACCACTGTCACTGCTGTTGTCTTCTTCGTCATCCCCGGCTTTCTCTGCCATTTCTACCACATTCTCCCCTGCCAGGACAGAAGGTGACACACATGGTTAAAATACAGCTTTGTGAATGATCCTCCGAACATTGATTGCATCCTGTGTGTTTCTCTCACCTTTGATCTTGCCGTTGACCATGACGTACAGGTGCTCCTGTGGGTAAGCGCTGACGTCTCTGGAGATGGCATGCAGGCCGATGTTGGGATAATCCAGAAAGAATCCCAGCCCCGAGCCATCAAACCATGACAGCTGCCTGCCAAAAGACACATGCATCTAACAGCTGATGCTTCACATAGTGTCCACACACATAGAATAAAAAAGTTACATAATTGCATTAAGGTACATTTAATGGTACTTCCAGGCATCCAGAACAAGTTTTACAGACCGTGGGAACATTATTCCCAATTTCAGGAAGTGATTTGGAATGGAAAGTCAGGCTAAGTGAGAGTCAGTGTCTGAAAGCAGCTTCGGGCTTATGTTCAAATAAAAACAACCTGACTGCAGGGCTGCAACTTCACTATTTTTTATAAATAAATGACCAACTATTGCAAAAAAGTGCTTTTTCAAGACAATTATAATTATGTATAACCAATTTGTATTCACTCATATTAATAATCACAAAATAAAATCAATTAAATCCTCAGATTTGAGAACCGATCTGACATTGAAACGTGAACCGAAAATCTGAAAATAGTTATTAATATTTTGATCTAGTATTAGGTAGATCCTTTCACCTCTACCTGTTACACATCCTACAAACAACTCGTTTGTGTATCTGCTACAGATTTGCAAGTCTTTGTAAAATAAAGTGCTTCTAACTTTTTCACCACTGTACTTTTTGGGTGACAAATTATGTGTTTTTTCATCCAATACATTTGTAATTATTATTTTGAAAGTGACTACTCCGGAAGTGGTTAGCACGCCGAGTGGAGCATCTGTTTTTAAAACGCTCTATGCTGTTTATTGGTTTATTTTAACACAATTCATGTATTTAACTCTAACAACAATTAAGATTCAACACATTAAGATTCAACACATAAACTAACACTGGTGTTGTAAAGACAAAAACAAGCGCCACGTGCATCACTTACGTTTCTGCGACGTACAGCGTGCCGCAGCCCAGCTTCTGGCCGTCCATCACCGCCATGGTCTCGGCTTGCTCGTGCCGCACTCCCTCGGTGGGAGGATGGAGGTCTTTCAGCAGAACCATCGTTAACGTGTGCCGGAGGGTAGAGACACAGGACCCTGGTGACAGCAAGAAGCTGTGTGTTCTATTTCGTGCCACAAAAGCTTGCTGATGTACCCCGTATAACTTGTGTGAGCCGGATGCGGATAAACTGCGAGCTATACGGTTCTTCTCTGGGATTACCTAAACCAGGCCGAGGCCTCCGGAGAGCAGGAAACCGGGGCGGACAGTCTCAAAACACACTTTAAGGAAATTGTTGAAGAACTCGTTGCTCCTCGCTGTAGACCTTTCGAAGCTGAAATATCGCGGCAAGATAACTCCAAGCAATACGTAAAAAAAAACAATAATCACGTGACTCCCGCGAACAAAGCGTGGTTGGGTTAAATTGATGGTTACGTCTGTTTTACGTAACATCCCTATTCCTGAAGCCATGCTCCGTAAAACATTGTATGTACAAGGTTACTACCGGAAATCTTTGTACGAGGGGCGGATCTACCGGGGTGGCATGGTGGCAACTGTCACCCTAAAAAATAAAGAAAAGTTGTGGCTAATCGGACATTTATGAGAGAAAATCTCTAATGTCTGAGTGCAAGTGAATGCTGCACAAGACGCGAGCCTTGTAACCCCGGCCCTGGCGCGAGCGTGGAAATGTGATTGACGACGATTTCATTTGAACGGGACGGCGCAAAACGAGAAGCATTCGGACCCAAGTAGACGGAAGGAATGAGGTATTTGCGGTCGACAATGACAGAGAAGAGACTGTCAAGTTTGGCTGTACTCAGCATTGAATCAAAACTCACTAAAGCTTTAGATCTTAATACGTTTGTGAGGCGTTTTGCTGCACAAGATGGTAATCGCCGCATTCAGCTATTATAGGCATGCCAACTTGATGCTCTGCTCACGGATGACTCGATGAGCATAAAAAACTGTTAAGATGATGACCTTACACGTTTAAATATATATTTTTTCTTTGTTGGAGTCTGCCCCCAAAAAACTGTTTTAAGTCCTGAGAAAGTAAAATAAGACGGTGTGTAAAACTACA